ACTCTATTCCTTCTGCAAGAATACACTAAAAAGAGTCATAATTATGTATTGTGACAATTGTGACGTCACGTGAGACTGCATGTCTGACATATTAGTTTTTTAAGTAAATTAGTTGTACTCATTTATTGAAAAGAATCCAAAGAAATTTTACATATACTGTTAATAAATAGTGATTTCTTTGGATAGTTTAAACAGAAAAATTGATTCTGATCTGTAATCGCGGTCAGCTGATATTGACGTATGAAAGAGGAGTTTACACTAAAAAATTAAAATATTAGGTGGTATAATTTTGATAACTTAATATATGCATTAGATTGCCATTCTTAGAGCAATTAAATTCATATGAATAGCGATTACTGTGACTCCTGGTCTGCGACAGAGCTGAGTACTATCTCTACTTTCATATACCATAATAATATATAAATGTGATGAACGGTAGACACGACATTCAGTAGTCTTCTTCTGCAAAACTAACAGCTTTGACATATGCTGACAATGCTTATTTGCTTAGCAGAACAGAAACCCCAAGAAGACTAATTTGAATATAAAAGCGGAGTAAAACAAAGTTTTAAAAAGCGACTATAATGTCGGGCTGTGATCAGGATCAACTTTTATAAACTCTTATGGTTTTATCAATGTAGAATGTCCGCAATTTGCGGTTAACCTATGCAGCACTGCTACAAAAAGAAGTTAAACCGACGAAAATGTATTAGCAAGCATAAGTAACACAAGCGCTGATTTTAGTCAATGTCTGCCGGTACAGTCAAATAACTCCGAAAACAGAGCTGTGTCCTTTCAACTCAAATATTAAAACTGTATTTATTATTATGCGGATAGATATGAAAGAGCTTAAGAAAAATAGACGATCGCGTATAAGTCTCCAATAATAAACATTGCAATATTAAAATACTCTGACCTGAGAAAATGTTTAATAAGAACACGTGGAATCTGACCAATCAACTGCAAGCAATAAATGTAACCAGGAAGCATTACCCATAAGCTTAGAGGCCCTGCTATAATATAGCTAGACAGGTATTGCGATAGACTCCATGGGCAATCGACGACTAGACACCTCAGAAAAAACATGGCATCGAACTACTGGTAAAGAATTTGATGACACTACTAAATGTACTTGCTCAAATAGGAATAAGGAAGCACTTAGCAAGTACAAACACACATTTTTACATAAAGTGATCTTTACAGTCGAAATAAATCATATATACTAATTTTATATGATTGCCTTCTTTGAACTTGCTTCAGTCCCAAATGAGATTCAAACTTATTTCATTATAATCCATAATGATATGGTCTTTCTTTAAATCTTTCTTTAAATATTCGACAAAAGTACTTAAACAAAACGTGAAATAGTGAAAATACTAGCAATTATGAAGGTTTGTCACAGAAGAAAATCATATGATCGTCTGCAAAATACAATACATCAAAGATCAAAGAACGATCGTAAACCTTCCCTCATCGATGATAATTTGATTACCTGCATAACAGGGTTCTTATAGTTCTTTAATGTACGTTTTTATTGTGACTTATGTTTGTAGATATATTATAGATCGTTATAGTCTTGTAATATAAATGTTAATATGAGCTCTTATTCAATTAATTAAAAACTTGTACGTTTACTTTTTGTAGAAAATGATGGATATTAATTTCAAAAACGTTTAAAATCACAGTAACTCTATAAATTACTCCAGTTCATTAATTTTTTATCAACACGCATGAACTAACGAGGAAAGAAAATGGATTTCATTTATTAGTTACTCAACGCACGGAGGCAACGCAGAAAGCAACGCCTTGTTCTTACCTTTACTAGGAGATATAAGGTTTTAACGTATAATTTGATATTGAAACATAAGTGAAAAATTTGAAGAATTTAGGTGTACAAGTGTGTAAATATGGCTCTAGATTATTCCATTTTAAGCAGTATTTGTGTAGGTATTGTCTGCGTACAAATTATACACATAGTTCTGCCATGGCTGTATGCAAATATCATTGGTCCCACCTTCTTCGGACCGAAGATAAATTTATGCCAGATGGGAGCGTGGGCTGGTATGTTCAACATTTTTTCAAAATTATTTATTAAACTCATTAACCTCATAACTGATTAAATATAACTCTTGTATATATATAACTCTTGTTTGATACCTGATATTAACATAAGTGATAATACATTTTTTTTACCTATTTTCAATCTATTTAAAACATTTTAAAATACTTTTGCAGTTAATTTGTCATATAATCCAAATATAACATTAAAGCTTAGTTCTTTACTTGCAGTTGTTACGGGTGCCACTGATGGAATTGGAAAGGCGTACGCCAAAGCGGTAAGTTTAAGGATCAATTATTTTTAAAATTATTTCAAAAACTTGATTGGATCACATTTTTGAAATGTGAACAGAATATGCGTTATTTCACTGTTGTAACTTTAAGTCCGAGAACTTACTTAAGTATAAATTAAACTATGATTAAAGATTAAGCATTTGCTTAATGTCAGGATAACTAAACATATAAAACATTTATAATAATGTATACTATTATAATATAGTGTATACTTGATAATTGTAAGACATAGACTCTCCTACTTAAGGTCGCATGTTTACAATTCACTAAGAGAGCTAAATTTTATTTTCCTAGCTCGTGTCAATGGCTTTGTGACCAGTATTGAATGGTTATAGTGACAGGTGTCAAATTCTTAAGGGTATCACAATGGCCAGATTCACCAATATATTGAATCATTACAACCTGTTGAAGATGCACAACATAAATTCTTGCAAATATTGAACGGCGTCAAGAGATCAGCACCGCAATGAAAATAGCTATTCTTCAAGATCTGCAGCAATTACTTCATGTCTTCGGACGGTCCCAGTAACCTAACCTAACCTAATCCACTTGATAATCATTCCGACGTTTTTCATTTTTTAGATACTCACGTCTAGTACATAATTGTGAACGCTAGTTTCTTTTAATTGTCTTAATTGTCTTTTAATTGGTTATAGTGACAGGTGTCAAATTCTTAAGGGTATCACAATAGCCAGATTCACCAAAATATTGAATCATTGCAACCTGTTGAAGATGCACAACATAAATGCTTGGAACAACTTGAACGGCGTCAAGAGATCAGCACAGCAATGAAAATAGCTATTCTTCAAGATCTGCAGCAACTACTTCATGTCTTCGGACGGTCCCAGTAACCTAACTTAACCTAATCTACTCGATAATCATTCCGACGTTTTCTATTTTTTAGATACTCACGTCTAGTACATAATTGTGAACGTCAATTTCTTTTAATTGTCTGACAATAAATAAAATTTACTATATGGTATATTTAGTTCAGTATTTTGAACTTCTTGCATAACTACACGTTATAATTACAATAACTTATGATATCATTTTATTATAGTTGCAAAAATAATTTTATAATATAATCGATCAATCAATCAGCAAAATAACGTATTTGTGCAATTAGAAGCAAGATTAACATTGTAATATAATTTACAATTTAAAATCATTTTTCTTTTTTTTCCATAAATATATAAAAAGTAATGGGTCGTATTACGCAGACGATTAAATAATCGGTAATCACTACATTTGTTAAAATCACCGACATCATTTGCACCAGTGAAAGGACTAACCCTTATCGTTAGTGCGTTTTAAATTTTATTTTAAGGCACAAATTTGAACAGAAGTTGCTAGTGAAATTAATTAGTGCTTGTGGATGCGCATTGGTTATTTATAATTTTTGTCAATAGTCAACAGTGGATAGTATTACAAAAACATATACGTTGTGCACCGCGCCTTACTATTTAAGGTCCGAAGCATATATGAAAATAATTATAAACAACGATAATGAGTATGTGAAGAGCTTCGCATGCACCGGATCAGCCATGCAATTTTATGAACCGAAACCTTATCGTAAAATAAGTTGACCCACAATTCAACCTCTGTTCGAAAAATACATGTTGACTGAAAAAATCGCTAAAAAACTATATTATTCCTAAACTATTGTAAGCAATTCCTCCCTATACAACAAACCGAAAGCTGCTAATTTCAGGAGTTAATAATCAGGAGTTTCGTCAAATATAAATAAAATAGTAACACCACCTTAACTATCAAAATAAAATATTATACCAATACCGCAACATAAAATTTGTGGTTTGTCAATTAATATTTACAAAATCTATATTATTACATTCTACAATTATATCCAACTGCACCTCTTCACATCCATGTGCAATCACAAGCGAAGAGGGCTGCTCTTAGAGTAATTACAAACAGGATGACAGATCTTGCAACCAACAGCAAAAAATCTGTTACTCTGGCTGCACAATTCCCAAAAACTGAAATGCCAACGGACAGGATGATTGTAAGGTATAACTTTACAAAAAACTTCAAAACTGAACTTGGCAACAAAAAGGATTGGGAAGACTTATCCAACACCCAAATAGTAAAAGAAAACATCATAACAAGGTATACAGACGGCTCCCTCACCAATGAAGGAACTGAAACTGGTGCTTAAGGACCAGACAAGAGATACTGGGAAGCACTGGGAAATAATGCACCTATCTTTCAAGCGGAAATACACGCGATAGATAAATGCGCCAGTTTCAACCTTGAACGTAACTACCAGAAAATCGTGAAATCGCAATACTGACTGACAGCCAGGCAGCTATAATGGCACCCATGTCCTGTCAGGTATCATCTAAACTGGTATAAGAGTGCATTGACAAGCTGAACATACTCGGTTGGAACAATCAGGTGCACCTAATATAGATTCCGGAACATGCTGGTATCCAAGGCAATGAAATGGCGGACAAACTTGCAAGAAGAGGCGCAACCCCAAGAATAATAAGCCCAGAACCATTCTGTGGTCTAGGCAAAGGAACTCTATCTATTCTTATGAATAGTGCAGAGAAAAAGAAAAAGAAAGAGAACTCTATTTGGAAAGGATACCAGGACTCTCACAATCTAAAATGCTTGAAAGATTGCATATCATAATCAAAAAACAACCTAAGAATTATTACAGGATTATTGACCGCTCACTGTAGATTGAATAATCACCTATCGAAGTTAGGAATTCAATCTAACTCAGACTGCAGATACCGTAGAGAAGAGAGAGAAACTACATACCATGTGCTTGGGGAGTGCGCGGCACTGATGCACAAGCAGAAGAAACATCTAGGAGGTTATATCATGGATCATAAAGATTCAAGACTAGGAAAGGTAGGCATTATACTGTCTTTCATTAAAGAAACCGGATTTGGGGAAATACTCTAACCCGAATAAGGGACACAATAGATCTTTTAGGTCGCAATGCAAAATCCTTTCTTTTCTTTTCTAATAATAACAATAATATATCCAACTGATCATTTTACATTATTTTTAGCTTGCTAAGAAGGGCATTAATGTGATTCTCATAAGTCGTTCACTATCTAAATTAGAAGCTGTAGCTAAAGAATTAAGTAAGTACATTATTCGTAAATCACTTTTCGTAAATCCAAAATATAGCTTTTCATATTTTCAGCTGATGCTTATAAAGTTCAAATAAAAATCATCGACATTGATTTCAAAGATGGTCCCCAAATATATCAGAAAATTGAAAAGAATATTACAGGTCTTGATATTGGCGTACTTGTTAATAATGTTGGCATCAGTTATTTATATCCAGAATTTTTTATCGAGTATATTACTCGTTACCCACAATTCTTACGTGATATTATATCAGTCAATATACATTCAGTTACTAATATGTGTGGTCTAGTGCTTCCCAATATGATTGCGAAGAAAAAAGGTGTTATCATTAACGTATCATCCTTTTTTGCAGTAATAGCCTCTCCTTTATTAAGTGTGTATAGCGGCACAAAGGTAAGTATAAATCAATAATATATCTATGAAAAACGGAATATTATTCCTCATAACTAATATATATAATATCGGCATTAGTCGTATACCTACATTCGTGCTCTCTTCTACAGGCATTTGTGGATAAATTCAGTGAAGACTTACAAACAGAATATCAGAGTCAAGGAATTATAGTGCAAAGTTTACGACCGTGTATAGTGGCAACGAATATGCATAAACTTAAGCCTAACTTATTCGCTCCATCCGCAGAAGTATATGTAGATTCTGCTTTGAAAACTGTTGGTATTGCTGGTAAAACGAATGGTTACTTTCCACATGCATTATTGGCACTTTTTGCTTATTTGAGCGGTAATTATATCATTAAAATTGTGCATTTCAAAGTACTTTTAAGAATAAAATCTCTTCTGTCTAAATCAGAAAAAGAGATATAATTCCGTAATTTCGTAAGAAAATCACTGCATTATTTGAATGATGTGCACCTTTTGATAACTTCTGTTTTTTTGTTAATATTTAAAATTCATATATTATTTATAACATATAATAATATTGATGCAGATAATAGATAAATTTGCTGTGAATAACATATATATATATAATAATATATAATAACATATATAACATATATATATAAAACAGACATATTTTCTCTTTATGTTATAAATGTATTAAGAACCTAATAATTAATATATATATATAAAACAGACATATTTTCTGTTTATTGTTATAAATTATATAAGGACCTAATATATATATATATTTTTTTTTTTTATATATATATATATATATATATATTTACATATATATATGTATATATATATGTATTAGGTCCTTATATAATTTATAAGGTAATTTAATAATTACCTTATAATTTATAATTTATAATTTATAATTTATAAGACCAAATATGTCTATTTTGAATTGATCGGTGACGGCAACTACATAAACGGCAAATCTAGAGAAAATTTCAATGTGATAATCGTATAAATATCAAAATTGGACTTTATACTTCTCGACCAACTAGTGATTCTTTTTTTTACAATATAATGAAATTATTATATTAACTACTAAATATGTATGCGTTTTATAACCATAATCATTTTCATAGAAATTTAATTGGCATTTAAATATACATTAAGAGTACATTGAATTCAAAATATATTTTAGAAGATATCTTAGTATAAAAATATCTATTAGAAATATCGCAAATAACAAGATAATTATTAAATGATGGGTAGAAGAAAAATATTCACATAAAATATCATTAAGAGTACATTGAATTCAAAATATATTTTAGAAGATATCTTAGTATAAAAATATCTATTAGAAATATCGCAAATAACAAGATAATTATTAAATGATGGGTAGAAGAAAAATATTCACATAAAATATCGCAAATCAATAATTTCAGATTGTAATTATATATTATTTATGGAATAAAGGTTATGTGAGCACATAAAAATAGTTGTTTATATAATATATATAATATAGTATAATACTGTAAAGTATAGTATAGCACTGTCATAGAAACCATTTTCTTCTTTTTAAATATTCACTAAAGTTGATACGCTACTTAACCCAGCCCTAACAATCCTTAAGTCCACTTCTGGACTCTCGGAAAGATATGTTGATTTAAGGTCCGTCATCAACTAAAAGACAAATAAATGATATGATTTCTTAGCCTAGTTAAAGCCTAGTGTGGGGTAGAGATAACCCCCCCAGCTATTATAGAGTAAAAGTGCGTAATAGCACTAACTCAAAAAGAAGAAGCTAGAAGAAGAATCAAGAAGAAATATTCGTAAAATTGACAACTGAGTAGAGCTTACTACACAAAATGTTAATAAAAAATTTAAATTAAATTGTAGTATTTGTGTTGTGGTGTCCAATCAATCTAAAATATAAACCTATCGCGTAAAATGTCGAGGCCGTGTCCATAAACCTGGATGAAAACCGAGACCAAGCAATCAAATAATACTTTTAAGAACTACAATTATAGTTTCATATGAAATATTTGTAATGAAGATGTGCATTTCCGTAAATGCATATAGAATTCAGTTGATACAAGAACCTATTATTAGAATTATAGTTGGATGTAGAAATTTGCAGATTGAACTTTCGAACAACTTGACGAATAATCAATGTTTAGTGATGTTCATGGATGAAGCTCATTTTAGATTAAATGTGCAAAGAAAAGTCACATGCTGTTCATGAAACACATTTAACACCACAGTTAATAATTCTACAGTATGCTTTATGGACCATAAAGAAATTTATAAGCATAAGCTAATACGAATGAGAAATGTAGGTAGCACAACAAACCAAATGTTAAGAAATCTTTAATATATCTCCATTGTTTCTATCCGAATCTTTCAAAATCGTGACTAACACACTTTTATGAGAAGACAATTTTAAGAGGGTGGACTTTATTACTGATATTGGAGACACAGTTAAGGATTCTAAACAATTATTTCTATATATATAAATATATTGAAAACTACAATCTTTAAACGATATCTGTAAAAAATTTGTTACATAACAACCATTAATCATAGATTTATAGTCGTTTCAGTGACGCTGCTGTTAGGATTTTTAAGAAAGGATTTGCTTTTGCGATCTATACCGACGGAATCTTTTCTGCTGACCTAACATAATGATTAGTAAATCATACCATCTTTCAGATTTTTTTACAGACAGATATTTTTGCTATCCTTAGGGTATGTGCTCTTGCTCCAAAAAAGAAAGAAAGAAAGGAATGGTAAGAAAGGAATATATAAGAAACATAAAAAGTAAGATAAGATAGAAAATAAGAAAATATTCAATGCAAACGATCATTATCAAAGGCTGACGATCTTTATGTTAAGTGTTTGAAAACATTGGATGGAATAATCTATTACGCGCTGCTACAGTCTGGTGCAATGCTTAGTTTGGTTTTTTATTGCTCACTAATCAATCACTTAAGCGAAACAAATCAAGGTATCGAGCAGAATTGGCCAACAGAAAAGGATTAGTGTTCCATCATAGTAATGCTGGGTAACAGACATATATGATGGCTCGTGACAAATTAACAGAACATGGTGAGGAGAACATGGTATATTCATCCACTGTATATCACCGACTAACAGTTGTTTTAGTTCTTTTCAATACCACCGAATATAATGCAGAATATACACCAACTAACTGTATTACGAATATATTGAAATATTAATACATACTAAAATACTAGTATGTTTCCTTCTACTGCAGCATAAGTATTACAAGAAATGTATATAATTATTATAATGAAAATAACAAAACAATAATTAAGAATAAAATAAAATAAAACAAGAAATACAAAAATCAAAAATTAATTAAATTAAATTTTAATTTTTAATATTCCATAAAAAAGTTCTATACATAGGCAAATAAATAGCCACTGATTAAGAATAGTTTCCGAATCTGTGAATGCATGCGTTTTAAAATTAATATGAATACTCACTCGTTAGTGCAAAAATCTATGATTCATTTTTTAGAAGAAGTGTTGTATTACAGTAACAATTTTTTGCGTTTGAAACTATCTAAAAAAAAAAAACAAGATATAGAATCGTTGCTTTAATAATTGTTAAGATAAATCTGTAAAATACGAGTAATTAAAGGTTACTTTTCTTGCTTTTTTTTTTAGTTTATTAAATATAAAACTGAATACAAAAAAAAATATGTAAATATAATTAAATATAAAAACTACTGCAATTATATTGTACTTTAATGTATTATTATATTATTAATTATTCATATTTTTTTATGTCAACAATTAACCAGAAAACTAATTCCGGAAGATGTATTTAATTTAGTAGTTGCTTAAACCACACAGAAGTAACAGAGAAATATTAAGCTCTGTATTCGGATATTTCTGACGACGTTTTAAGAACTGTGTGCATTAAGCGTATAAATCTAAACGTGGCACTGCATAGTTCTATTTTAATCACTATTTGTGTGGGCATTGTCTGCGTACAAATTGTACGTCGAGTTTTGCCATGGCTGTATCTGAATATCTTTGGTCCCGTTCTGTTTGGACCAAGGATCGATTTACGCCGGTTAGGAGCTTGGGCTGGTATATTTCAAATTTTTCTAAAGCCATTTGTAATTGTTGGTTAAGTGATATCAGCTAAGATCATTGCTTTAGATGATATTTCAAGAAATTTAACAATACAAACATATTTAGAATAAATGCATTTGGTTGCCTGAACCGGAAATTAAAAGTAATTAATTAAATTCCAGTTGTAACGGGTGCCACCGATGGAACTGGAAAAAGCTACGCCAAAGCGGTGAGCTTAAGGATAAATTAATACATTACTACAACTTAAAATATTAAACTTCCACAATATGTGTCCAGATGCAGTGCATCTAAGCTTATCATTATAAAAATAATACACTCACATCCAACATCATACATGATTTTATTTTATTTTCAGCTTGCTAAGAAGGGCATTAATGTGATTCTCATAAGTCGTTCACTATCTAAATTAGAAGCTGTAGCTAAAGAATTAAGTATGTACATTATTCATAAATTACTTTTCGTAAATCCAAAATATAGCTTTTCATATTTTCAGCTAATGCTTATAAGGTTCAAATAAAAATTATTGAAATTGATTTCACTGATGGTCCCCAAATATATCAGACAGTACAGAAGAATATTGAAGGTCTCGATATTGGAGTACTTGTTAATAATGTTACCACGAGTTATGCACATCCCGAATTCTTTCTCGAACACATCACTCAGCATCCCAAATTTTTACGTGATGTTATATCAGTCAATATACATTCGGTTACTCATATGTGCGCTCTAATACTACCCCATATGATCGCCAAGAAAAAAGGTGTCATCATTAATTTGTCATCAACTGCTGCAGTTATACCCAGCCCTTTACTTAGTTTATATGGCGGCACAAAAGTTAATATAAATGGAAATTATATGTAATTGTCATTAATATATATTCATATATATTTCTAATGCAGGCGTTTGTTGATAAATTCAGCAAAGACTTACAAACAGAATATCAGAGTCAAGGTATTACAGTACAAAGTGTTCGACCAGACTTTTTAATAACGCATATGGCGAAACTTCGGAAGACTACACATCTCCCTTTATCAGCAGATTGGTACGTATCATCTGCTTTGAAAACAGTTGGCATTGCTGGACAAACGACTGGGGACTCTCTACATGCAATACGTCTGTTGCGCTTTCAATTCCTGAATGCTATAGTCGGTAATCAGATCGTTAGAAATATTATTTTTAATATCAATTTTTGTATACGTATTATCGGTTTGATGATGCGCAGATAAAATTAATTAAATTAAAACGTATCCAAAAATAATTTAATTGTATAAATTATATGGAAAACTTCGTTTTATGGTACATTACTATACATAACATTTAAGCTACAAAACTAATTCCTTTCACATTATATATAATTTTTCTTTTCGGAAGAACAGTTCCATGATTAACTCAATTAAAAACTTTTAAGAAATTTCAGTCATTTAAATAAATTCTGTATCTTTTATAAAATATATCATTTAGCATGGATATTGATAATAATGGTTTATGGTTTAATAATGGTTTACATTAGAACATTTTCTGATATAATTGAATTTAATTTAATTTCGAGGTAGTACTTTTTTTTACTAATAAACATTATCACAATTACGCAAAAAATAATATCATTTAAGTACCAACCATAAATGGATTATATAATTATAGTATGTAAAATATTACATATATTAATGAACGCACACTAATCCACAGCCAGAAACTTACTTCCAATGGGTTTTTAAAAAATTTCAGTAATTTAAAAAATTTTTATCTTATTCCCCCATTATACCTATATGATGAAATTTTTATAAATATACAGTTTTTTGATTTATTCTGTTAGAAAGGCGGCATTACTCAACCTTTCGCTGGCTATGTGCCTGGTAATATTATTGTACGTACTTGAGACTTATCCCTTTTATGTAAGAACAATTTTTAATGTAGTTCCAATGCCGTTTTAAATAATTTCACTTGAACTTAATCCTTACCTCGGGAACATTGGGATAAGCAATCAAGTATTACACATTTCCCCATTCGATTTTATATAAATAAGACACTTTTCATTAAAGGAAAATGCATATATAAACCACATAAATAAATAAATAAATGTCTGATAAATATCAGACACATCTGTGCAGTCTCTGTCTCTTGTGTTGAGATTCTTTCGAGTTAGTAAAACTGGGCACTTTTACTCTTTGTTAGCTGAAGGGTTTCTACAGAGTCCCTCCCTTCTCTTTGTCTAATTTATGTATTCCTCACAAGCTTCGCTGATAATTCGATGACTGATCTAAAATCTGCATACCGCCCCGTACGGCTAGTGACTGTTCTGAGATAAGATAGTGCTAAGTGAGGCAGCCTCTTAGTTTTTGCGTAAGACTAGCTGTGTGAGGTTCATAAATGCGCCACACACTTTTGTAAAAAAAGATAAATGTCATAAGTGACACTCTATTCCTTCTGCAAGAATACGCTAAAAAGAGTCATAATTATGTATTGTGACAATTGTGACGTCACGTGAGACTGCGTGTCTGACATATTAGTTTTTTAAGTAAATTAGTTGTACTCGTTTATTGAAAAGAATCCAAAGAAATTTTACATATACTGTTAATAAAAAGTGATTTCTTTGGATACTTTAAACAGAAAAATTGATTCTGATCTGTATGCGCGGTCAGCTGATATTGACGTATGAAAGAGGAGTTTACACTAAAAAATTAAAATATTAGGTGATATAATTTTGATACCTTAATATATGCATTAGATTGCCATTCTTAGAGCAATTAAATTCATATGAATGGCGATTACTGTGACTCCTGGTCTGCGACAGAGCTGACTACTATCTCTACTTTCATATACCATAATAATATATAAATGTGATGAACGGTAGACACGACATTCAGTAGTCTTCTTCTGCAAAACTAACAGCTTTGACATATGCTGACAATGCTTATTTGCTTAGCAGAACAGAAACCCCAAGAAGACTAATTTGAATATAAAAGCGGAGTAAAACAAAGTTTTAAAAAGCGACTATAATGTCGGGCTGTCATCAGGATCAACTTTTATAAACTCTTATGGTTTTATCAATGTAGAATGTCCACAATTTGCGGTTAACCTATGCAGCACTGCTACAAAAAGAAGTTGAATCGACGAAAATGTATTAGCAAGCATAAGTAACACAAGCGCTGATTTTAGTCAATGTCTGCCGGTACAGTCAAATAACTCCAAAAACAGAGCTGTGTCCTTTCAACTCAAATATCAAAAGTGTATTTATTATTATGCGGATAGATATGAAAGAGCTTAAGAAAAAAAACGATTGCGTATAAGTCTCCAATAATAAACATTTCAATATTAAAATACTCTGACCGGAGAAAATGTTTAATAAGAACACGTGGAATCTGACCAATCAACTGCAAGCAATTAATGTAACCAGAAAGCATTACCCATAAGCTTAGAGGCCCTGCTATAATATAGCTAGACAGGTATTGCGATAGACTCCATAGGGCAACCGACGACCAGACACCTCAGAAAAAACATGGCATCGAACTACTGGTAAAGAATTTGATGACACTACTAAATGTACTTGTTCAAACAGAAATTAAGGAAACACTTAGCAAATACAAACACACATTATTACATAAAGTGATCTTTACAGTCGAAATAAAGCATTTATACTAATTTTATATGATTCCCTTCTTTGAACTTGCTTCAGTCCCAAATGAGATTCAAACTTATTTCATTATAATCCATAATGATATGGTCTTTCTTTAAATCTTTCTTTAAATATTCGACAGAAGTACTTAAACAAAACGTGAAATAGTGAAAATACTAGCAATTATGAAGGTTTGTCACAGAAGAAAATCATATGATCGTCTGCAAAATACAATACATCAAAGATCAAAGAACGATCGTAAACCCTCATCGATGATAATTTGATCAACTGCATAACAGGGTTCTTATAGTTCTTTAATGTGCGTTTTTATTGTGACTTGTGTTTGTAGATATATTATAGATCGTTATAGTCTTGTCATATAAATGTTAATATGAGCTCTTATTCAATTAATTAAAAACTTGTACGTTTACTTTTTGTAGAAAATGATTGATATTAATTTCAAAAACGTTTAAAATCATAGTAACTCTATAAATTACTCCAGTTCATTAATTTTTTATCAACACGCATGAACTAACGAGGAAAGAAAATGGATTTCATTTATTAGTTACTCAACGCACGGAGGTAACGCAGGAAGCAACGCCTTGTTCTAACCTTTACTAGAAGATATAAGGTTTTAACGTATAATTTGATATTGAAACATAAGTGAAAAATTTGAAGAATTTAGGCGTACAAGTGTAAATATGGCTCTAGATTATTCCATTTTAAGCAGTATTTGTGTAGGTATTGTCTGCGTACAAATTATACACATAGTTCTGCCATGGCTGTATGCAAATATCATTGGTCCCACCTTCTTCGGACCGAAGATCAATTTATGCCAGATGGGAGCGTGGGCTGGTATGTTCAAAATTTTTTCAAAATTATTTATTAAACTCATTAACTTCATAACTGATTAAATATAACTCTTGTATATATATAACTCTTGTTTGATACCTGATATTAACATAAGTGATAATACATTTTTTTACCTATTTTCAACCTATTTAAAACATTTTAAAATACTTTTGCACTTAATTTGTCATATAATCCAAATATAACACTAAAGCTTAGTTCTTTACTTGCAGTTGTTACGGGTGCCACCGATGGAATTGGAAAGGCGTACGCCAAAGCGGTAAGTTTAAGGATCAATTATTTTTAAAATTATTTCAAAAACTTGATTGGATTATTTACTTACTTATGTGGCCATAACAACCCGTTACCGAGTTTCGGCCTGACGCAGCATGTCTCCCCAGGCGCCTCTGCTGCGTGCGCGCCTTCTCCAGTCTCGTATATCAAGTCCAGTTAGTGCTCCCTCAACTTGATCACTCCACCGGAGACACGGTCTACCTCTACGTCTTCTTCCGCCAACTACTGCTTCAAACACCTTTTTCGCCGGAGCGTCTTCATCCATTCTCACGACATGACCAAGCCAGCGAAGCCGCTGGATGTTAATGCGCTGAATTACATCAATGTCGTGATAAAGCTCGTACAGCTCGTGGTTCATTCTAATGCGGTAGTCGTCGCCAACTCGTAGAGGACCAAAGATCTTACGAAGAACTTTTCTCTCGAACACTCCCAGTGCTGCTTCATCATTCTGTGATAACGTCCATGCTTCTGCGCCATATAGAAGCACAGGGAGGATGAGCGACCTATAGAGCGTAAGTTTCGTTTGTCGAGAGAGAGCTCTACATCCCAATTGCCTACTGAACCCATAGTAGCACCTATTAGCAATGGTGATTCTTCGTCTGATCTCCAGACTGACATCATTTGTATTCGTTACGGCGGCGCCAAGGTAGATGAAATCCTTGACAGATTCGAAATTATAGTCGCCAGCCACTAGCCCGGTGTCCGAGCGACGCACATTTCTACCAGTAGCCGACATATACTTCGTTTTTCCCTCATTCATCGCTAAACCCATTCTTGCAGATTCCTTTTCGATAGCAGCAAAAGCAGCTGTAACATCACGCTTGCTACGCCCAATGATGTCAATGTCGTCGGCGTAAGCAAGGAGCTGGACACATTTGTAGAATATTGTTCCATTACGATGAACACCTGCCCTGCGCATGATCACTTCCATGACGAAATTGAAGAGGTCACATGATAAGGGATCACCTTGTCTGAAGCCTCGCACGGTATCAAAAGGTTCAGAGAGACTCGATCCTACCTTGACGGAGCTACGGGTATTACTCAGCGTCATTCTGCAAAGTCGAATTAATTTTGCAGGGATACCGAGCTCAGACATTGCGGCGTAAACGCGATCCCTAATGGGGCTATCGAAAGCTGCTTTATAATCGACAAAAAGGTGATGAGTGTCGATGTTATGTTCGTGGGCTTTTTCCAGGATTTGTCGCAGTGTATTAGGCTAATCCCGCGATAGTTGGCGCAAATCGTCGGGTCACCTTTTTTCAAGACAGGACAAAGGGTACTGAGATTCCAATCGCTGGGCATACTTTCATCTAACCATATTCTGCAGATAAACTGATGCATGCACCCTATCAGCATATCACCGCCGGCCTTGAACAATTCAGCAGACTTGATTGGATTACATTTTTGAAATGTGAACACAATATGCGTTATTTCACTGTTGTAACTTTAAGTCTGAGAACTTACTTAAGTATAAATTAAATTATGATTAAAGATTAAGCATTTGCTTAATGTCAGCATAACTGAACGGTTTAAAACATTTATAATAGTGTATACTATTATAATATAGTGTATACTTGATAATTGTAAGACATAGACTCTCCTACTTAAGGTCGCATGTTTACAATTCACTAAGAGAGCTAAATTTTATTTTCCTAGCTCGTGTCAATGGCTTTGTGACCAGTACTGAATGGTTATAGTGACAGGTGTCAAATTCTTAAGGGTATCACAATGGGCAGATTCACCAATATATTGAATTATTACAACCTGTTGAAGATGCACAACATAAATTCTTGCAAATATACTTCATGGGCAATATGATGGAACAACTTGAACGGCGTCAAGAGATCAACACAGCAATGAAAATAGCAATTCTTCAAAATCTACAGCAACTACTTCATGTCTTCGGACGGTCCCAGTAACCTAACTTAACCTAATCTACTTGATAATCATTCCGACGTTTTCCACTTTTTAGATACTCACGTCTAGTAATTGTGAACGTCAGTTTCTTTTAATTGTCTGACAATAAATAAATGGCACATATAAATGGCATATTTATATTTTTACTATATATTTAGTTCAGTATTTTGAACTTTTTGCATAACTACACGTTATAATTACAATAACTTATATCATTTTATTATTGCAAAAATAATTTTATAATATAATCGATCGATCAATCAGCAAAATAACGTATTTGTGCAATTAGAAGCAAGATTAACATTGTAAAATAATTTACAATTTAAAATTTTTTTTTCTTTTTTTTCCATAAATGTATAAAAAGTAATGGGTCGTATTACGCAGACGATTAAATGATCGGTAATCACTACATTTGTTAAAATCGCCGACATCACTTGATCACCAACGTGACCACAATAGCACCAGTGAAAGGACTAACCTTTATCGTTAGTGCGTTTTAAATTTTATTTTAAGGCACAAATTTGAACAGAAGTTGCTAGTGAAATTACTTAGTGCTTGTGGATGCGCATTGGTTATTTATAATTTTTGTCAATAGTAAATAGTGGATAGTATTACAAAAAATATACGATGTGTACCGCGCAAAAAATCTGTTACTCTGGCTGCACAAATCCCAAAAACTGAAATGCCAATAGACAGGGTGATTGTAAGGTATAACTTTACAAAAAACTTCAAAACTGAACTTGGCAACAAAAAGGATTGGGAAGACTTGTCCAACACCCAAATAATAAAAGAAAACATGACAACATGGTATACAGACGGCTCCCTCACCAATGAACTAAAGCTAAAGCTGGTGTTTATGGACCAGACAAGAAATACTGGCAAGCACTGGAAAATAATGTAACTATCTTTCAAGCGGAAATATACGCGATAGATAGATGCGCCAGTTTAAACTTTGAACGTAACTACCAGAATCGTAAAATCGCAATACTAACTGACAGCCAGGCAGCTATAATGACACCCATATCCTACCAGGTATCATCTAAACTGATATGAGAGTGCATTGACAAGCTGAACATACTCGGCTGGAACAATCAGGTATACCTAATATAGATTCCGGGACATGCTGGTATCCAAGGCAATGAAGAGGCGCAACCCCAAGAATAATAAGCCCAGAACCATTCTATAGTCTAGGCAAAGGGACTCTATCTATTCTTATGAATGGTGCAGAGAAAAAGAAAAAGAAAGAGAACTCTATTTGGAAAGGATACCAGGACTCTCACAATCTAAAATGCTTCAAAGATTGCATATCATAATCAAAAAGCAACCTAAGAATTATTACAGGATTATTGACCGATCACTGTAGATTGAATAATCACCTATCGAAGTTAGGAATTCAATCTAACTCAGACTGCAGATACCGTAGAGAAGAGAGAGAAACTACATACCATGTGCTTGGGGAGTGCCCGGCACTGATGCACAAGCAGAAGAAACACCTAGGAGGTTATTTCATGGATCATAAAGATTCAAGACTAGGAAAGGTAGGCATTATGCTGTCTTTCATTAAAGAAATCGGATTTGGGGAAATACTCTAACCCGAATAAGGGGCACAATAGATCTTTTAGGTCGCAATGCAAAATTCTTTCTTTTCTTTTCTAATAATAACAATAATATATCCAACTGATCATTTTACATTATTTTTAGCTTGCTAAGAAGGGCATTAATGTGATTCTCATAAGTCGTTCACTATCTAAATTAGAAGCTGTAGCTAAAGAATTAAGTAAGTACATTATTTATAAATTACTTCTCGTAAATCCAAAATATAGCTTTTCATATTTTCAGCTGATGCTTATAAAGTTCAAATAAAAATCATTGACATTGATTTCAAAGATGGTCCACAAATATATCAGAAAATTGAAAAGAATATTACAGGTCTTGATATTGGCATACTTGTTAATAATGTTGGCATCTGCTATTTATGTCCAGAATTTTTTATCGAGTATATTACTTGTTACCCACAATTCTTACGTGATATTATATCAGTCAATATACATTCAGTTACTCATATGTGCGCTCTAGTGCTGCCAAATATGATTGCGAAGAAGAAAGGTGTTATCATTAACGTATCATCCATTTCTGCAGTAACACCCAGTCCTTTAGTTAGTGTGTATGCTGCTACGAAGGTAGATTTAAATCAATAACATATGTAAATAATACCGGATATTATTTCTAATACCTTATTAATACCGCATTAATAATATATCTATATCTACTTTATGATACATATATCTGCATACCTACTTGTATACCTACATTCGCACTCTCTTTTACAGGCATTTGTGGATAAATTCAGTGATGAATTACAAACAGAATATCAGAGTCAAGGAATTATAGTGCAAACTTTACGACCGTATTTAGTGGTAACGAATATGATGCATAAATTTAAGCCTAACTTATTCGCTCCATCCGCAGAAGTATATGTAGACTCTGCTTTGAAAACAGTTGGTATTACTAGTCAAACGAATGGTTACTTTCTACATACATTACCTCAATTTATCAATCATTTGCTTAATCTTATTGTCGGTCGTCACATCACTAAAATACTTCGTTTCAAATTATTGAAGATTGTACGAAAGCGTGCTTTGAGTAATTTAGATAAAAATAAATAATTTCTTTAGAAAATCAGTGCATTTTAGCTGCTTATACTTTTTAATAATTCTATTGATTTTATTATTATATTTAAATGTTATATTTTTTCAACATTAACTATGTAATGTATTAATTTAGAACAAAATACAACTTTACAATTCTAGATAAACTTAAAATGATATTTTTTATATATTATTAAGAAAACATAACCAACACAAATAATATAAAATAATATTAACACGTGGAAAAAGAAATGATTTACTAATCGAAATTTATAATTATATATTTTGTTGGAATAAAAGAACACACAAATAATTATCGGTCTATATAATATATATCATTATAATAATAGCCGTAATTTTTTCTTTTAGACTTGTAGGAAAACAGCATTAAGTCTGGTTGAAGGTCTAGTCAAGTCTGGTCATCACTTTTAAAATATGTTAAATGTTTTTTTGTAACATATGTTTCTTGTTGTGTTGTGTACAATATGAAATATTAAAATTTTGAATACTAAAAATAAATTTATTTTAATAAAAGAAGTATTTATAAGTAGTATTAAGTATTTAATTATTAATAATAATTATTATTATTAATTATTAATAATAATTATTATTATTAATTATTAATAATAATTAAGTATAGGCCTTTTCTTTTGTAAGCATATTACAAAAGAACAACTGCTTATTTTAAAAATAATATATGATACATCCATTGCGGTGCGGTGGCTTATTTAGTCTAACCTTTTTGAAATCGCTTAACTAATAAGTAGCTCAAATCGCTTGGTTACCAAAACTAAAAATCGTCTATTGTGGAAATCGTCTATGTCATACTAATAAAATGTATGAAATGTAGGTTTCAAAAGACGAATTAGCATGGCAAGAACTGTTGGGCGCAAGAACATTATCTTGGAGAAGCCGAGTACGAGCACACACCGGTCATGGAAACTTAAGGCAGATCTAGATGAAGCATTACGACGGCGGCTATGTGTACGCTTTGTAGAGTTGTTCGGCGAAGACACCGATACCGAAGAAATGGCGAAAACCCTGAATACAGCTGAACCAGAAAAGAAAACAAGTCCCTTGCATTATACCTCATTTGGTTGGGATACGGAATTATTATTAATAATAATTATTATTACTTATTATATTATTAATTACTAATAATAATAATTATTTATTGAGGAAGTGGCTAAACAAACCATTATGAATCTAATTTAATGTAATATGGCGTTTACACTGTCCGAAATTGGCTAATTTCGAATGAGTCATTTAAAAGTGTTTACATTCGTTATATTTCATTTGTTCGCATTTCAAACAGCTGATTTTTCTACTTGCCTGTTGATTTGATTTTTGGCCTGTACCAAAAAAATATTGTATAGAGGTTAAATATACCTTCAAACCTTGCAATATAAACTGAAAACATATTTTTAACTTCGATTAAATACTTTTTCGGAAGTAGAAGTTCTGAAAAGAGGTGCATCGTTTTCAAGGAAATGCAACCACTAAACATTTGTTTAACTTTTTTTGTAAATATGTCAAAAACAGCTTTCTCAAACTAAGATCCAATGGATCTCAATAGCGCTTGAGATTTTGTATGCAAAAATCAGTCATTTACTTCTCATTTTTGATTTTTGACCAAAATCAGCCATTGGAAGCCAGTGTACATGCCGTATAAAATAATTGCGCATACCAATTCTAAAAATCATTTTCAACACTTATAAAAGCCATTGTGAATGAACATCATAGAAACTGTCAAACTGACATTTCAACTAAAAAGAAAAACATTTGCTTTGGCATTGGCACTTGACAATTGAGTGAGTTTAGAATTTTTATTATTATTTTGAAAATTGTAAAAATACATTTTTATAATATATTGCATACAAATAATGAAATCAAAAATACAAAATGAAATCATGAACAAACTTTATGCTATTCTTAGTTGTGTAAATAGTTATTGTGCATAAAAGTTGCCTTACGTAATGTTGGAGCAATTTACGTTTCATTTTTCTTTTCAGATTTTCATGGCCAATACTGTTTTACAATTGGCAAGGAAGTACGGTGTAGTCGTGTTTTTTCCAACTTTTACAGTAACAACTATATACGCTGATTGGTCACATACACGTGAGTGGAAACGGCAACAAAGACTATTACTTAAGAATCAGGAGCTACTAAAAAACTAAAGTAAATATGGTACTTGGAATCGATAAAAAGTTTGCATGGGTTCTATTGCCAATGCTCGGTTTTGGAATAGGACATTATTTGGACAAAAAAGAAACTGAACGCATGGTTAGATTTCGTGATAAGAGCGCTTTATATGGAAGACCAGATGGTTCTGATAAGGAGCCATCATGGTGATTAATAGTAGCAAAAACAAAAACTCAAATGTTTAATTTTAGTAGTAAATTAAAATAAAATTTACAGAAATCTATCTATATTAGTGTTTTGTACATGAAATTATAAAGGATTTATTGAAGCAGTGCATTGTTAGTGCAAAAACAATCTAAATTGATTTAACTTAGATATCATTTGCGTCATTTTAAATCCGAAAAAATCTTATGACCATTTTAAAAGCGATGGTGAGCAAATAAATATCAAATCACAAATGTAATATTAGTTAACTATCAATTATATTTACTTGGACATAATTGTACAAATACCCTTTTTCTTGCAATTTCAGTAATGTTGGTTGGAACGTATATCTAAACTTGCCTGTCTACCTAAGATTTTATGAAACAAAAGGCACAAAATCACAGCAACATTACTTGCGAAAGAAAACTGAATTGTAAACAAACAATTTCTGTGGTCAAAGACCAGAACAAACAATGATAAAATTTTCCCAAATGCACACACAAAAGCCATAAACCTATCAGCATAAAGATTATCTTAATCTTTTTTTTTCTTCTCTAGGTAGTGTACGCACGTTTTGACGCTTAGTAGGGATTCTTTTAAATTTTTATCACACTCTCTACATTAGGTATTGGTTGTATATATTTGTGCTAGTATAAAGTTGTATAAATGATATATACGTTGAAACGTTGTTAAACCATCAAAGAAATTGAATTTCTCTAAAATAATTGAATATTTTTCATACACAGCATACAATTTATAAAGAGATTAATAGAAGTCTATATCGCCGTCACACAAGCGTAGGGTATTCAGTGGAATCTTTACACAGAACTTGTTTTATATTGATTTTATGACCTGACATCGAGTGTTTTTTTTATTATTTTTTAACCGAAATGGTATTTACTCAAAGCCTGTGTATAAATAGAGTCCAAATTTTGTGTGTGCTCTTAGTTTCTTGTATGAAATTTTCGTCCTTTACTTACAATAACGTATGCTTCCCTTCT